AGAAGATGGAGCGTCTGGATCCTCCTATCCTATGATGGCCAGCCTACAGGTGCCGTCGGGTGTGACAATGCATCAAGGCGTATTACTTTGCACTCGGAACAAATGACATCCGAGATAACTTCAAAGGGACTACTATCTATCGTAGGGCATTGATGAGTTCGCTCAGGGGAGATTGCTTCAACAAGCTATATTCAAGTGACTCATGGGGTTTTGTATGACTCTAGACGATGACCATGCACACAATGTAATATGAGAGCAGATGTCTTCAGATGAAAAGATCCATACCTTAGAAACTTACCTAGGTAGCTGGCAAGCATGGGGATGCCGTAACTGTTACTCCCTATCTCAAACAGCAGGCATAGTAAGCCGCATTCTGTTAGTGATGTACATGTACCTGATCGATTGCCCAACCGTGAGCCACTGAGTGACTCACTGAAGACAAGAGCTGGAGCAGTCACTCGCTCCACTAAAACCTCGGCAGCTCAGCCCCACTCGAGCTTCTGGATCTCGCCTCATTCTTCCAGTCCATTTGCCTCCTATCAAGGCATCAAGTGCCGACTCAAATAGAGACAGAAATCTCGAGCTTTTGCCCTGTCGTCATCATCTTTGTACAATCAGAAAAACATAGCAGAGCCTCGGGATTTAGCCTGTTGTATTGTAATATTCCTTCTTGGTGGCGTTGTGGCTTCCTTTCCTTCTCTCGGCTTCTCGTCATCTGTACACAACATTCGTCACAGACGTGACGATCCAACCGTCAAAATCCCTGTCATATTCGACTCTTCTGATTCGACATCATCAGCCATGATTTCTCTCAAGACACAGCCAGACGGCTCCCCTCTGGACCGCAGACAAGCCGTTACAGATACCCCTGGTTCGCGAGTCGTCCCCAAGCCGGTGCCGGAAGCCCAGCTTCAGGATCCGCGAGGCTACCAGATTGAGCAGCTCAAGAGGAGATTCTCACCCAAGGAATCTACAACCGCTGCCGGGGAGACGTCGTTGGTATTCAAGCTCAAGCCCTCGGACCCGGATTTCCCCTTTGAGCTGCCGTACCTGGACTGCGATGTCCGTGTCCCCGAGGACTATCCGGAGGAAAGGCCGGTGCTGCTCGTCAGGAATAAGGACATTCCCAAGGGGTTCAGCATTAACATCGAGAGGGGCTGGGATAGACTTGCCGAGGAGAAGAAGGGGTCGACTCTTTTGGCACTGGTCTATGCTTTGGATAGGAATCTGGAACGATTCCTGTCGGAGCAGAAGGTTGAAACGATCAAATTGGTATCGTTCAAAGACACGAGGCACCTCGATCAGGCAGCAGAACAGAAACAGTCTGCTGCGGTTGAGCCTCCTACAGTCCAAGAACAGGTTGCCCCCAGCCCTCCCAAAAGGCGATATGTACCAGAACCATCATATTCGAGAGAGCAGATCGCAGAGGCAAAAGCAAGACGAGCCCAGGAAATTCGGCAGCTCGAGGCGAGGATGGGCAGGATGCCACAGTTTCGCAGGTCGGCGGACGGTGTCATCTTTACGCTGCCAATCGAGCCGAAACGTCGCGGGGAGCTTCCCTCTGGGTTACATTCGGTGAACAGCATCCACCTCATCGTGCCGCTGTTGTATCCGCTTCAGCAGCTGCGAGTGCAGCTGAACGAAGCAAACGCCGAGGACGCGGAGCCCATCGAGGAGCTCTTTGCGGAAAAGGCCGCGGAGCAGAAGCAAATGACACTCATGAGCCACGTCAACTACTTGGCTCAAAACCTCCATAACCTCGCAAAGCAGGCGCACGAACTGGCTGTCAAGGCCGAAAAGGAGAAGGCAGCCGCAGCAGCCCGGGAGCAGCAGCCTCAACAGCAGGTGTCGTCGCAAGTCTCTAGGGATGTCTCGGCTGGCCCATCTCAGCCGCTCGATAAGGGCAAGGGGCATATCCAGGTCATTCCTCGGCCACCTGAATGGATCGTCCACGAAGATGGCGAATCAGAAGAAGATAGCTACTCGGACTCGGACGATGCAGAAGACGGAGGTGCCGTGCTAGAGCATGGGGACGATGGCGCGAGAGTGGCCTCAACAAATGATGCGATTGAACACGGTACCATGATGTCGTTTCCCAACATTGAACTTCACAGCATCGAGCTTCTACAAGTGTCCATACTGAGTCTAAGCGTCAAATGTGAGCGCTGCAAGACACTCAATGACATGACAGGACTCAAACCAGGTGTCGAAAAGACGTCGAGCTGCAAGAAGTGCGCGACGACCCTGACGGCCAAGTTCAACCAACAGCTTGTCCATCAGAACTCGACAAGAGCCGGGTTCATAGATCTCTCCGGGTGCAAAGTGGCAGATATGCTGCCGAGTACTTTTGTGCCTACGTGCGCCAAGTGCTCGACCCCCAGCCAAGGACTCGTTTCCGTCAGGGGCGAGACTACGACCAACGTCTGCCGCGACTGTCACAGCAAGTTCACCTTCAAGATCCCCGAAGTCAAGTTTCTCTTTGTCTCCCCCGGAACGCTTCCGCCGCCCTCCGTTGGCCCCCGGCGGAAGCAGGAGAAGCTCGGTTTGCATGCGGGCGACCAACTCCCGGATCGGGGCACCTGCTCCCACTACCGCAAGTCGTACCGGTGGTTCCGGTTCTCGTGTTGCAACCGCGTGTACAAGTGCGACAAGTGCCACGACCAGGCCGAGGACCACATCAACGAGTGGGCGAACAGGATGATTTGCGGCTTCTGCAGCCGCGAGCAGAACTACGCCGTGGAGGCGTGTCGCTTCTGCGGCCGGAGCGTGATTGGGAGGAGGGGGAAGGGATTCTGGGAGGGCGGCAAGGGCAATAGGGACAAGACGACGATGAGGAGGAATGATACGAGGAAGTATAAGAGGATTGGGGGGTCGGCGGCGAAGAAGGATTGAGGGCGTTGCAATGGGGGGGGACGGGTGAGCTGAGAAGAGGTGGGCGTTGGGGGGGTCTTTGCGTGAATGATGCTTGCGAGACGAATGTTTACGCAGTTGTTGTAGCCAATGCATTGGCGCACGCTGGAAGTTGTTCACACTCTTCGTCTGTCCCGACCCTCCAAAAGGGGCACATGAAAGAGACTGGTGGTTATCACTTTACAAAACTTGCATCATCTTCCAGATCTGGGCACCCTTTTTCCTCATGCCTCGTAAGTGATAGCATCCAACTTCAATACAAGGAGCCAGGGAACATGTGAGGCGAATAGATCATAACAGCCCTGTATTATATCAAGGTCGAGAAATGAAGAATACATGTAAATTCAAAAATTAAAAAGAAAAGCTTAAGAATTAATCAACATCTGGTGCGTCGCATTCCGGCTAAATGCAAAATGAACCCTCGAATCGGACTCAGAAAAGTGACAGCTCGAAAAGGCAAACCCCCCCCCCCCCCCAAATGGGGCGTTGAAAATACCCCGTCAAGCTCCTGTTGCTTCCTACTGGCGCAATCTAAATCTGGCGTCCATCGAGCCTTTGCTCGCCTCGATACCGTGTGTGTTTTCTCTCATTGCTCTTCGGGTGGTTCTTCATCCTTTCTTACTTCTCCTGATAAGATCATCAATCCGGTAGGCTGTTAATAAGGGGCAAAGGGGGAAAGACAAGAGGAGGAGGAGGAGTCCAAGGGGTTACAATAACACTCAGATGAGTATGTGTATGTGTTTCGCCCTCGGGCTTTGCGTGAAAGATCCCCCACGTCCGAAGCACGGGCATGCGTATACAGATGCGTATGGATTTTATACTTCCTCCTTTGGGTGAGGTTGCATTTATCCTACGTTGGGCCCCCCGCGCGTCTTACCACGTATCTGTTGATCCCGCGACAAACCCGGGGCAGACAAAAAGAGACAGCCTCTGTTTTGATTTTGCGAAGAGGCGTTTTGCGCAAAACCCCGACGTTCTCCATGGGGAACCGAAGAATGATCCTCCCGGTCTCAGAAGGACAGGACAGCCCTGTCAGTCTTGGGGGGCAGGGGAGGTGTGCTGGTGGTGGTGGTGGTGGTGAGTCTGAGAGCCAGAGCCGCGGCGCGGGGGGGGGAGACCAGGCAAGGTGGAGGGAAACGGGCAAGGTGGATGGGGGTGAAGCAGGGCCGAATGGGGAAACGGATGGCAAGACGCGGAGAGAGGGGAGGGTGTCGTGATGCCCCGAAGAAGCGCGGGTAATGTGTCCCTTAACAGGCTTGAAGTACCTCGGTATGTATAGTAGATAGGTAGGTTGGGGGGGTTCAATAAAGAGACGGGGATGAAGTCGTGATGGGCGAACCAAGTATGTACATACATGACACACTCTGGTGTGGACGAGGCTGTGGTGGTTTTATTGGTGGCTCGTGATTTTCCGACGGCGGCCACGTGAAGGGAGGCCTTGTCGATGCGCAGGTAATACTTGCAACTTTCTCCCTTATGTTCTTTTTGCCTTTATGTCTTAGTATATTATCCCTTCACTTTACGTTGGGTTAGACACGAGGCCAACAGAAAACGGAGAGCGGAGAGCCACACGAGGCGGAAAAGGGCTACCAGATCTTTGCGACGGTGCTCTGGTGACCCAGCTGCTACATCTTGGCGCTGTGTGGCGATTCGGGATAGTGTCTTCTTCTTGAAGGTTTCTTCTGTGAGGAGCAGCCGGGGGTGGGGGAGTCTGCAAGGCTGGTGCTCTCCATCTCGTGCCTATGCCTCTCTCCCTTTGCAGTAGGTCCCTCGAAGAGCTGGGCGAGAACGACAGCAACTTTGGGATAAGCGACAGAGGATTCATGCTTTAGGTTTCGAGCACGATAACACACGGGATAGTAAAAGGTTCGCCGAAGTGCTATCAAGCTTTTGTCTTTTTTGGGGGAGGGCGGGTCTAAAGGGCACGTTTCATGCATTCTCCCACGTTCTTCACCTCCCCCCTGTCTTTGCCCCCCCGGTCTGTTGATGATATCGTGCTGGGCTGACAGGACGGAACGGAACAAGAGCAGACAACAAAAGACAAAAGGCTAGCCGGATTTCGTCGGGGATCTTCGTGCCACCCCCGCAAAATGGCCGACCCCCTGGTCTGCTGTATGTTGTCTGTCGTTCTTGTTAGGGAAGTCGTATCATCTCTGGGGCTCAGTTTGGGGGGGGGGAGGAGTGGTGGATGTGGGTGAGAAGTAAGTCACCCTCTCCGGGGAATGATGCGTTTCATATCTTCTCACATGGTCGCCGTGTAGCATCTGCGCTTTGACGGACACCCGCATTTGTCGAGTAAAAGCCGTGAGAGTTGTATCTTCTGGAGGGGGGCAGTAGGGTATGATCAACGGGATCCCTGGGGCGGGCAATCTGTCGAGATAAGATATTACCCATCCAAGTTCCCAGGCACGGACTAGACTAATATGTGTTCTAGAAGATCAGCAGAAAGGAACATGAAAGGAACAGTCAAGTAGGTAGTAGCTTTCAAATATGCAGAGCGACTTTCCTGATGGAGCAAGAATCCCCAGTTGGCCATTCCTTTGTCTGCCATGAGCGGGGACGCTTTGCCTTTGTGCGTGCTCGTCACGGCGAGCGGGAGCAGAATGAGGCCGAGATGCTCCTGACGCGACGGTAGGCCTCCCTGTCATTCTGGATAGTACTCGTAATTCAGTTTGCATGGATCTCACAGTTATCATCAGTTGGGAAGTGACCGCTTGGAACGGTGAGCGCGCAGCCGGTGGCGTTGTTGTTTCCGACGGCTATTCCAACGCAGGGCACCTCGGGAGGTTCTGCTTCGTCTCATATCGCCCTGGTCATTTCTCAACCTCTACCTTGACGATATCTTTCCAAATTCAGTAGCTTGGATGCCAGCACGGTTCCAATCTCCAACGCTCGGTACCCAGATGAACACTCCCGCAGGGAATGGAAGCGTTCAATAACTGCCCTCGCAAGAGCCCGCATGAACCACCAGGTGTCTGCAGAGTCCAGGGACGAATTTCTCACCCGAATCACTGCGCTGAATGGCATCTCAACAACCCGGGGCCATCGAAGTCGTGGTTGCTGCTTCGTGTGTCAAGGAGTTTACGTATGTCAATACCGCTCATATGCGCATACCATGGCTAGCTATTCCCGAACTCTTCAATATCATTGTGAGGACCCTGCTTTTCCTCTCAGAGCCCACCTTGAGTCGAACCACTGCAGTCACTTATGCTTATTCTGCATCCCAATCAGGGCCGATACCACTTCCGGAGTCATACATGTACACTTCACGACAACAGCGGGCCATATGTAGGAGCCCGTCCTATTGGGCAATCGCAGTTTGCTGCAAACGTCTAGAAGGGGTCGTCGAGCGGGAGAATCCACCTGGAGGGCCGATCCAGGGGGGGGCAAGTCAGAGTTCATTCATCAGCCCTGCTCAGTCTGATCTGCGCCGTCAGAACTTACGATACGGTTCGCAGCTGTCAGGAGGCGACATCTTACCCGCCCTGCTAGGTTCCTCTTCCGTTTATCTAGCGATGGCGAGGCTCGGCATCCGATGCGGCTTCGAGAGACGCATGGGCTCACTAAGCTATGTATCCTTCCGCTAGCCACGCATGTGTTGGCATATCTGCTTCCACTCTCCGTTGGGTACTACATAGAACTACTGCTCCAGGTTGAGTTTGGAGTTCAAAACAAGGGAGTGGATGCTCTCTCGCGTACTATGAGAGAGGACAAGTGCAACAGCCTCCCAAGTCGATTCGAAGTGTAAGATGAGGGTGTCCAGTCAGCCTTCGTAGCGATACATGTCACTCAAACAGCCAACACTGGTGCGCCCAGTGCGGACAGCATAGCAAGGAGCAGTATATCTCTCCATGGGTTAGGAGTGATTCGGCTCCGGGCCAGGCAATGGCGAAACCCCCAAGCTCCGGCAACAAGCTCTTCTTCCGTCAGCAAGCTAGCATCGATCAAATTCCCACGTAACGTTAAACTGCCACATGCGGATGACGGAGCCCACCCTCCCGTCACTCGTGCTCGTGCTTCACTCAGTCACAAGGCCAGCCAGGGTCCAAGATGCCCGACAAGGGGGGAAGGGGGGCCTTTTTTGCGTGTCCCTGGTTGCCGGATGGGCTCCCGGTATGCTAAAAGGAGGCACTTTTGGAAGGAGGAGAAAAAACGTGGTGTCTTATTCTCCAGGGTTCGTTTTGTGCTCTCCCCTTGTGTGTCGGGGGGGTTGCCAATTCGGATGGCTGGCTGGCTGGCTGGCTGGGGGCCTTGTCTCGCTGCTTAATCTTAGTCCGCGGTGCCTTTCTGATGTTGGGCCTTTTTAACCGTTTCTTTTTCCCATGTGTTTTTGAAAGGATCCCCGTCGGTGAAATATGCAAAATCCTTGATATTATCTTCTAGGATTCACCTCTGCGACGAATGACTAGAATGACAAGACTCCTTCACTTGAAGACGAGCGGCTGGGTGTCTGGATCTGGTGAAACGTGAATTGGTGGTCTGACAGGAAGAGAAGACTCTCCGGCTGTGGCGTTTTGTATCCAAGATCAGGCATCAGGCACTGATGAGCATCGTGGCGGTTTCGTGGATTATGACCTGGAAGCTTGGCAACAACTTCGACTTGATACACTTGGCCACAGAGGCGACATCTATTGTTCGACAACCATTTAGTAGAAGATGTTGGCTGCTTCATGTTTACAGAACCGTTCAATACATGTCAAGTCATCGGAGACGGTCCGAAACGGTGGGCTCTGCTCCGGGGCATTCGGCCGGGATGTAGAATAAAAATACACAAAGCAAAAATAAAAATAAAATAAAAAAAGAATATCGCGACAATTCATTTTCCCAATTTCTATTTTCCAGGATGGAGTAAATATTTCACCAAGTGCGAGATATCCCCGGCCGTGGGCTTTTCACACATGGGTAAATGTAATGGAATAATGTACCTAACTGTACCTTGCGCAGTACCTAGGTATGTATGTAAGGAAACCCCTGGCAATAATACGGACTTGTCTGGCGGTTGCAACAATCGACATGCCCCGTCCGTCTCTCTGCTTTTCATGTGCCTTGTTGATGGGGGGCCTGCTTTTTTCTTTCTTTAGCGCGGTCGGAATCGCCGTCAAGCGGCTTTTGTGCTTTTAGCTTTTAAACGGCGAATTTCAATGCTGAATCTTCATTCAGTTGGATCTTTGCTCCGAAAGCATGTTGGGGAGACACTTGTCGCGGTTCCATTGGGAGGAGGCGCAGGATGAAGAGATGGAGAATGCGGTGGAATCATCCTCGCATGTATGTATGTACATACTAGAAACACGAGACGACGCTGTGAGGGTGGCGGATAACACACCAAGTTGGTCGCAGGCAGAGGGGGATGGATGGGGTTGACCGTTATCACTACTGGTGACGAAGCATCCCACGTCCGATGTACTATCCCAGGGCTGACTCGCGGAACGGGACCAGGGATGACGATATGACGCTTCGCCCGTCACAGTCACGGCACATAACCGTTTCGTGGCCCAGGTGTGTGTGTGTGTCATCATCAAGAGTTGAGTCTTCGAGAAGGCTTCTCTTGCAGTAGCAAGAGTGCCTATCGTAGGTATCACGGCTGCATGCAATGGATGTGTGGATGATTGAATACCTACCTATGCAACGGCTAGACCGGACTGGCCCCCTGTGTGAGTGAGACTCAAGGCGAGGGCGTGTCCCATCTGATTCTCAGTTCGAGAGAGCTGTTCAGCATGTGAATGCCGATCAGGTCCTCCTTGGAATCCAGTCATCACCGCCCCTATTGTCAATCTTTTCGTCCCGTCATATAATCGTGAAACTTGGCTGCCTTCTTCTTCTGCAGCAAGGGTCTGTCTGCATACGTATGCGGCCAAGTGGGCTATAGGAGAATTTTTTTTCTTTTCTCACTATTTATTCGATTCTGTATGTATTCACCGAGCGAGACGGAGAACGACGACGACGATGATGATGATGATGATGATGTACAGGGGCAGAAAGGCTCTCTGGTCTCGCCTAGTGCTCATCCTGTTTCATCATTCTGGAGGCCGAATCTGCGCTTCGTATGCACGACCGGTCCGCACCACGTTTCCTCACTTGAAAAGTTTCCGGTCTGTGCTCACCTCGGCTGGGTCTCATACAAGTAGTATTCCCCATCGCCGTTGTCTGCGGGTTTTGCATCCAAGAGCTGTGAGTGGCTTGAATGGGATGCCGTGATCGTCGACGATGCTGCTCTAGCGGGCGGGTCGGTCAGGAAAGCCAAGGCTCCGAATTGCCGAGCCAAGAGCTTTTGTTTGAAAGCTTTTCCTGTCGAGCTGTTTGGCGATCGGGAGGGACGATCCTGGGTGAGTTTGGACGATCCACTTTGCGTGAAGCCGGTGAGAAAGGGGACCGGGTGGTCGTTCCGTGGATTGCAGAGGCTGGTGGAGAGGGACGTGAGAAGCTATCTCTACTTGAGAATAGTAGTAGTATACATACTGTATGCATGTGCTGTGCTGGACCTGGCAGATGGAGTTGCGGTGGGATATAGGGCACTTTTTGATCGAATGAGGTTGCGCGGAATGCTGCTCGCTACTGGATGGACGGACGGGCGTGACGATGATACGACAACCAAACAAGATAGAGATCGTCGCGAGTCATGTCAGCTTAAACGGTTATCAACTGCTAGCTGAGCTGTATGTATCGTACTTTACAGTACTTGATCCAAGCGATGTACCGAGCTCAGCTATCCCCATGTGAGGAAATCACTTACATCATGACCTCACACCGTACAGTAAGGCACTCCAAGTCAGCTCGTTGTCGTTCCAACAGACAGAATATCCCAGTCCATCTTTGATGTCACACATCCCTCGATGTGACGACGACGGGCCGTCAGAGTCGTGACGAGAGGTTCATCCACCAGGCAAAACGCCAGAGTTGCAGCAGATTGGCGACATGGCATGGGCACCGCTGTGAAAGTGGCTCGACGGGAACGAGGGCTCCTTGGCAACCGCGATAAAGGGGGGGGGTTTGAGGAGGTGGTATTACCGCCGGACCGGTTTCCATGTTGCACAAAGATGTATGTACTAAGAGCATTGATCATCAAGTGGTATCGTATTGCGAGTATGGGGAAGCCTGGTATGTAGAGGGGAAACGTTAGTGATGGGACGCTGCGAGGTGATTGGGGAAGGGGGCTTTGAGGGTTGGTTATGCTGCTGCTTGTGTGTTGCACTCTTAGGAGGCTGGTTCATCAAACAGATAGGCCACCGCTCCCCGGACTGATGCTGGGTATCAAGTCGAATAGGTCTTCATGATAGTATGCCCCAGGGATGCGAGCTTCCTGGGAGTATCAAGGTCACTTCTCAGTCTGATACAACTGACCACCAGCCCTATTTCAATTACAAGTCCACCATCTTCATCACCGGAAGGTATTGACTGATTGACTGTGCCCTCCCCTGTATACAAGCAGTGCTCTGCTCCTTGGGCACTATCTGCTTCTTTACACCATAAGACACTCGTCCGTTTAGCGAAATGTATTGCGCAAATGACACCCTCTGCCAGCAACTGTCGACGCCTCAGCCTCGATTCCAGAATCTGGCCTCATACAGACAACAGCCTTCGAGTCCTCGCCATGACCGTCATCAGCACTGCACCCCGGCCGCACGCTCAACCAGCTTCTAGAGCTTCTAGAAGTCGAGAGACTGACTGCACATCTCAAGGGCATCGTCCAGTGTGCCCCTGACGTGAGAGCGTCAGAGCAACCCCCACGCCCGGAATCCAAGGACATGGTTACCCGTTACCATTTCCGTGAAACGCGATACGTCTTCTGCAGCATCGTGGCCTTGACCAAATATGACAAGTGATGGCCCGGCCACCCAGGAAGGATGCCCTCCCTCCTCCCCTACCTACCTACTTACCTACCTTTCCCGTACAGTATTACATGCGGGCATCCCACGATGAACAAGGACAATGACCGTTATAAACAGTCGTCTTACTGGGGACGTACCGTGGACATGGACCCTTGCCTTGTCGACGCCTTTTTTTTTTCTTTTTCTTTTTTCCTCGCCGCGAGCTCTCTCCCGGCTAAAGTGCTTTCTTTCTCTTTTCTATTCTTACATTCTGTTTCCGGACCGGCTCTCGCGTCAGGGATCGTAGAATTTACCCACTCTTGCTATCAGAGAAGGGGGTGAGCAAAGCTTACGCGAACGAAACATGAACAACAGTCCTTTTCCTGTGTGAGAAGAACGAGCGAAAGCGAGGGGGGGCCGGCTGGCATGATCGAAGATCATTTTGGAACGCAAATCTGACCAAGGTTGTTCTTCCCCGTAAACAAGTAATCGTGGTCAGCAGAGACAAGGCACGCCACTTGCCCTGATGAGAAGGAACCTTTTCATCCGTCGTCCGTCTGTAGAAAGTATAACGGATGAGCGGATCTTGCTCTCTTCATGTAGATGAGCTTTCAATATCAGCTGCTTATCTTCTTTTGTTTCATTTCACTTGTCCCCCTCCACATTCATGATACTATTCTACAAGAAATAGGGTTGCCGGCGGAAGATTGCTCACGCCGTTGTGAATATGGATATACCTCTTTGTGCTTTTCGTTGCTCTCTCAAGGTCCTGTCTGTCTTGAACTCTGCTTTCTCGCACTTTGAGAAAATCTCCAGCCCTAGAGGGCGGGTTGCCATTGTTTGCATCAATGAAGCAAGTCAAAGCCTAGCAGAGGGTTTTGGCATAAGCCTTTTTCTTTCTTCGTCCACTTGCGAATGGACAGACTCTCTTTGCAGTAAAAAGGACGACAAGGTTACGGTTGCTGACGCTCGACGATGCAATGCAGTCACTTTGATGCACATACACATACACATCATATACGAGAGGCTTACGAATGGCACCCCTTTGGTGCCGGCACTGATTTGATACCGAGGAGGCCGGGCATGTAATTTTCGCAGCTGTCCACGTGGGGATGGTCATGTTGCATCTGTATTTTTGGCGCCGACTGGACAGTA